TCCTGCAGTCTGTGGACTGGAATTAAGCCAGCAGCTCTCCCAGTTCTCCACTTGCTAGCCGAGTCTGGCAGCCTACACTGCAGATTTTAACTTACCAGACTCTATAATCATACAAGCAAATTCCTTATAATAAATCTATTTCTATGTATGTATACCTCCTATTGATTCTGTTTCTCTGTACAGGTCCGACTAATACAAATTCGAATTCCTTTCTCCTCTCTTGGAAACGACCATTCTATTTTTTTGTCTCTATAAATTGGTTTACTTTAGGTACCTCATACTGGTGGAATCATACAATATTCAATCTTTTGTGTCTAACTTATTTTATTTAGCATTACGTCTTCAAGGATTATCAATGTTGTAGCATGTGCCAGAATTTCGTTCCCTTTTAAGTCTGCCTAATATTCCATTGTATGTATAAACCACATTCTACACTTAATTTATCCATCGACGGATGTTTGCGTTTCTCCTCTTTTTAAAGATCAGTGGGATAGTTTCTACAATCGTGTTGTGGCAGATAACTGGACAGATTTAAATAATTTTAGGAGGCTCCCATTATTCCTGCCTCCTGGTGTTCCTGATCTTGTATAAGCCTTCCCCTCCAGTGTAAGTGAGACCTATGACTTGGAATGTAGCAGAGACGCTGGAATGCATGTGATCATGCATATGTGCTTATGTAAGGTATAGTGACTAGTATGCTAAAGTCTCTCTCCCTATCCTGTCTCCATCTTTATCTCCCTGTCTAGATTTTTTTTTTAAATAGAGTCTCGCACTGTCACCAGGCTGGAGTGCAGTGGCGCAATCTCGGCTCACTGCAACCTCTGCCTCCTGGGTTCAAGCGATTCTCTTGCCTCAGCTTCCCTAGTAGCTGGGACTACAGGCACATGCCACCAAGCCCAGCTAATGTTTGTATTTTTAATAGAGACAGGGTTTCACCAAGTTGGCCAGGATCATCTCAATCTCTTGACCTCATGATCTGCCCACCTCAGCCTCCCAAAGTTCTGGGATTACAGGCATGAGCCACCGCACCTGGCCCTCCCTGTCTAGAGTTTTAAACGCAAGCTTAAATGAATCCTGTAGCCAAAAAGAAATAAATTCTGCCTGAGGGAGCTTACAAGTGAATCTTCCCAGGTGAGCCTTCAGATGAGCCGCCCAGCAGACACCTTGATTGCAGTCTTGTGACACACAAGCAGAGGACCCAACTAAGATGTGTCCACGCTTCTGACCCACAGATACTTTGAGATAATAAAAGTATGTTGTTTTGCATTGCTGCTCATATAATGTGTGGTGATGTGTTACACAGCATATGAACCTAAAACATCCTAAGATAAACTGAATCCTTCTGTCTTGTTTAACTTTTTTTTTTTTTTTTTCTTTTTTTTTTAGAGACGGGGTTTCACCATGTTGACCAGGATGGTCTCGATCTCTTGACCTCGTGATCCACCCGCCTCGGCCTCCCAAAGTGCTGGGATTACAGGCTTGAGCCACCGCGCCCGGCCTTGTTTAACTTTTTTTAAACTCTAATCTTTTTACGGACTTCAGTGCCTTTGAGGCTGTCACTCGATCCCTATGCTGTAATCTTGGCTCATCAGATGGAAACACTTCCCAGGGGATCTCCCAAGGGTTGCAAATATGAAACTTCTTCTGCTATATTATTTATTTTTGAAGTCAGGGCTGTGGACCTACTCACTGACTTACAGTTTGAGATTGATGGCTCAGAGTAAGAATAGTCCTGGTCTCTATTTTAATGAGGCACAGAGAGAAAAGAAATCCATAGTGGCCACCTGACTTAGGCAAGGTCAAAAGGAGAATAATCAATGGGACCAGAAGTAAGCAATTTTTTGGCTACACTTGTTACAGCAGTTGTATAACAATACCCTGAAGCACAGGTGTAAAGGTCGATGTACATGCACCCTCTACTGGTTCCACTCCAAGTTCTTAACTACCTGGGTATAAGCTAATGATTCACAAGTTTAAAGGAACTGCACAAGATTGTGTAGGATTGTAATGAGACCATTTCCCTCTACCCCAGCCACCTGCCCTTCTGAACCTGTCCAATGTGTACTTTGCTCAGTCTTCTTGCCTGATTTATCTTTCTTCTTTCATGATTCCTTATATGGAGGCTTGGTTAGGGACAGAGTTAAAGCTGCCCCAAGGCATAATCTCATTCATTAGGACAAAAACCAACTTTTATTTTTCCAGTGGCTAATCTGATGAGGGAAAAAAAAGGGTAATAGTAATTCTAAGAAAGGAAAGTCACAAGGAGATCATTAACAGGACCTATTTTGTTCAAACCTGTTAGGAAGCTGGAAGGCAAAAAGATAATGGCAATCACATGTTAGAAAGTGCAGGTGGGAAAGGGGAGTCTTGTTAACCAGCAAACCTGTTTAGGCAGGTGAAGGCTGGCATGGCTGGGGGAAGAGGTGGCCAGGCAAGCAAGGGAAAATATTCAAGAATTAGAATATCAAGAAACCTAAAACGTGGTCTGGAGAGGGAGTGGTGTAAAAATATACAAGAGGGCTGGGTGCGATGGCTCACCTCTGTAATCTCAGCACTTTGGGAGGCTGTGGGTGGATCACAAGGTCAAGAGATTGAGACCATCCTGGCCAACATGGTGAAACGCAGTCTTTACTAAAAACACAAAAATTAGCTGGGGGTGATAGCTCATGCCTGTAGTCCAGCTACTTGGGAGGCTGAGGCAGGAGAATCTCTTGAACCCAGGATGCAGAGGTTGCCACAACCTCTTGCCCGCGCTACCCCAGCCTGGTGACAGAGGGAAACTCTGTCTAAAAAAAAAAAAAAAAAAAAAAAAAAAATATATATATATATATATATAATGTACAAGAGAAGCATAAAGGACAGTAATTATCCAGAATAGTGAAAGTAAAGGTTGCTGGCAAAATTCACTGAAAATCAAAATAATCTTAGTGAACACAAAAAGTATCAGTTAGGATTGTAATAGTTATTTTACACATATTAACTTATTTAATCTGTATAAACCTATCAAGTAAATATTACTAATATTACCCCCATTTATTTTTATTTATTTATTTATTTATTTTTAAGATGAGGTTTCACCGTGTTAGTCAGGCTGGTCTTGAACTCCCGACCTCAGGTGATCCACCCGCCTTGGCCTCCAAAATGCTTGGATTACAGGCGTGAGCCACCACGCCTGGCCTATTACCCCCATTTTATATAAAATAAAAGTAGGCCAACAGAGATCTAACCTGCCTCAAGATCTCACAGCTCATAAATGACAAAACTAAGTATTTAAACCTGGGTATCCTGGCTAGGCTTTAAGCCTTGGTGCTCTACTGTCTTTCTGACAAGAAGAAGAGAAGGGAAAGGTTCATGATGGGTTTCCTATGTTCGGGGAACTCATGATAGAAATACCGTATTCACAATGACTTCTTTTCTCTTATTGCATTTTCCCTAGTAAATAACATCGAAAGCAGGTCAGGTGGGTATTCCACTCCTGTTTTATGAATGGGAACATTAAGGGCTGGAGAAATTACATAATAATTTAGTGGAAGGTCAACTAAAGCTCTGCTCTCCTTGTCCTATAAAATACCTTCCACCTTGCCAAGTCTTCTATTGAAATCTGGAAATCACTCTTCATCCTAACCCCAATTGCCTAATTAAAAAAAAAAAAAGACTCTCAGTGCTCCTTTAGTTTTGAACCTGACAGATTTTAAATTACCAGTATTGTACCAGGCCAGTGTCTTGGTATTTGTTTTCCTTAGCTGAGAACAAAACTGGTTTATATCCTCCATTCTCATATCCCATCATCAAGCTGTGTGAGGACCCTTAGAGTATGATCAGCCTACCCAGGAGCCTCCCTCCCACAATCACTCGGTAATTAGATTTACAGAGCTGGAAAGGCTCTGAAATGAGTTTTTATTCCATTCTTATGAGATAGTGATATCACTGTAAACTAACATCTACTTTTCTTATCCCAGCCTGGCCAACATGATGAAACCTTATCTTTACTAAAAATACAAAAATTAGCTGAGTGTCACGGCGGGCACCTGTAATCCCAGCTACTCAGGATGCTGAGGCAGGAGCATTGTTTGAATCCAGGAGGGAGAGGCTGCAGTGAGCCAAGATCGCACCACTGTACTCCAGCCTGGGCAACAGAGAGAGACTCCATCTCAAATAATAATAATAATAATAATAATAATTTTCTTATGAAATATTTGGTATTAAGTAAAGATCACCTATTTAAGTACAAATCATTCTTACAGTATTCATTTGTTTTGTTTTGTTTTAGGTAGATTCTCACTCTGTCGCCCAAGCTGGAGTGCAGTGGCGCTATCTCAGCTCACTGCAACCTCTGTCTTCCAGGTTCAAGTGATCCTCCTGCCTCAGCCTCCTGAGTAGCTAGAATTACAGGTGCCTGCTATGACACCCAGCTACTTTTTGCATTTTTAGTAGAGACAGGGTTTCACCATGTTTGTTGTCCAGGCTGGTCTCAAACTCCTGGCCTGAAGTTATCAGTCAGCCTTGGCCTCCCAAAGTGCTGGGATTACAGGCGTGAGCCACGGCATCCAGCCCCATTTGTTTCTATAGATTTGCTTATTATGAGTATTCTGTGCTCTTGCGTGGGTGCCTGTTTTTACTCTGACCTTAGGCTTTGTTTTTGTGAGTGGCAAGACATTTCTCAATCGCATCACTACTTTACCAAAGAGAGAGAGAGAAAAAGAGAGAGAGAAAGGAACAAGACAAGAGGGAAAAGAAACAAAGAAGCCTATATATTTGTTTTTTAAAAATTTGGTTTTAAAATAATGTCTTTCTCACTTATCTATTTCAATGAGAAGTGAAGTCAGGGTGAAGAAACGTGTCACTGACAACACAGGAAAATTCTAATCTTCCAACTTGATTTCTCATCTTCAGATCTGTTTTCTCAGGAGATGTGATGGCTTTCCTGTTCATTTGGCAAACTCTCAGTCTTACCCCAATGATTAAGGATAAATGACCCAGAACCAGGAGAGTTGATTATCAACGTAGTGAAGGGGAGGGTTTCAAAGAGCAAGAAGGGGTTGTTAATCACATGGGGAGAGAAGAAGGGAGATTGGCAGGGTGACTTTCACCCTGCAACAGTCACCCTGGAGTGCTCTGGTGAAGGATTAAGAATATTACCAGTTTTCTGATGAAGAAAAGAACATATTTGGTCACCAGCAATCTGCCTTTGACCATCCTCAAAGCCAAGATTTTCATCACTGTCTAGAAAAATACCTCATTCAGAGGACACATAAGTCCTCTTTGAATGCCTTCTTTTTGGGAGCAGTGAGAGAAAGAAACTTAGAGATGTAGAAAGAATTAATGGTATAAAGGAAAGAAAGAAGGCAAAAGGTAGCAAATGTGGGGCCATAGAAATAGTAATAAGAATAGAGAAGAAAACCAGGAAAACAAAAGGGGAGGCAAAGGCCATAGAAAATAACAGCCAGAGAGAGGAAGAGAAGACGGAGAAAGAGAGAGAGAAAAGCTGATAAATTGCTGAGAAGTTTCTCTCCTTAAGAATTCTAAGTCAAGAAGTCAAATATGGCACAGAGCATGGAAAGGAGGCAATGGATGCCCAGTGCAAGATTCTGAAGAAGCCGGAATTCAGCCCGATGGGAGTCCGAGTTCATGTCGTGGCAGCCTCTGCCCTGGTGCATTTCATCTTGGTGAGTTCAGGGACGAAAAGGCAGAAAGATTGTCCTTTTCCACAGATTAATCAATTCTCAGAAGAATCTGAAAGGAAATGGACTGTGGGGTGGGGAGACATATACAGAGCCCTGAGGGTAGCAGGGAAATGAATAACTACAAAGTTTTGTTAGTATTCTGAGATTGTATAGATGCTTGTGTGACTGACGGCAATGTCCAGCAAAGGGGGGCAGAAATTAGAGTGAGCATGGAAACAAGCAGGATAGCTGTGGCACTTTAGAAGTGCCACTGAAGCATATTTCTCTCTTTTAGCATCTTATCACTCATCCCTCAAAATCCCAAAAAAATTATGAAAACTAGGCCTGTAATTCCCCTAAACAACATTTACCATATCAGATCTAATCCCATTCTAGCAGTTTAGGTGCCTCTAGTCTAGAAATAAGAGAGGGAGAAAATATTTTGAGCCCCACAGTGAATCAGAAGTCTCTGAGTAATCCGTTAGTGGAGAAAAGGGTCACTGGACTGAGGGATTCTAAACAATCGTCACAGGGAAGTTAATAGAGCCATGTCATCTAGCAAGAAGGAGAACAAATCAAGAAAACTGGACAGTATCAGTTTCCCGTATGCCCCTGTCCGGAGTGGGCTGTATGTTTTTCTTGCTAATAGACCTGTTAAAGTGGTGTCTGAAAATCCATTTTTTTCTTATATTTTCTTTTTGTTTCCTCTTCACTTCCTTTGCCTTCTCTTCCCTTCATTGTTCCTTTCTTTTCTCTTTGCAACAAACCTGAAAAGTGGCATTTTCTCTGTTGGGCACTTGAAGCTTCTCTTGCCTTTAGTGAAGAAAGCGAAAGAAAGTCCCAGGGTTGGGTGGAGGAAACACATTTTGTCATCCTTAGTAGCCGTCTCTTTTAAATGAAAAGTCAAACAGGGGTTTCCAAATTTTCTTCTTTTTTTTTTTTTTTTTTTTATGATGGGGTTTCACCATGTTGGCCTTGAACTGGTCTTGAACTCCTGACCTCAGGTGATCCACCCACCTCAGCCTCCAAAAGTGCTAGGATTACAGGCATGAGTCACCTCGCCTGGCTTCCCAAATGTTATCCGCAAGGGCTGGCTGTTAATCCTTTTGTAGGTCCCTCTCACCTGATACGTCTTGAGTATGTGTGTCTCTTTACCCCTTCACTGCCCACCACAAACTCCCAATAGTTACAAATCTGTTTCTTTTCTAAGGATCTTTGTGGTTGCTTTCCTGAAATATCAGATCACTCAAGTTATTAGAAGAGAGAAGCAGCTTATAGAATTGAGTTCACTTAAATGGTTTGTTGTTGTTGTTTTCAAAAAGGAGTTTTGCTTTTCTTGCCCAGGCTGGAGTGCAATGGCACGATATTGGCTCACTGCAACCTCTGCCTCCCAGGTTCAAGTGATTCTACTGCCTCAGCCTCCCAGGTAGTTGGGATTACAGACATGTGCCACCACACCTGGCTAATTTTGTATTTTTTTAGTAGAGACAGGGTTTCACCATGTTGGTCAGGCTGGTCTCAAACTCCTGACTTCAAGTGATCCACCTGCCTCAGCCTCCCAAAGTGGTGGATTACAGGCGTGAACCACCGCACCCAGCCTTAAATGGGTTTTTGAAAGAGGAAGTCACCTAAAACATCAGGTCGAAGAAGGAGTGAACTCTTCTTTTAGGAGTAGTAGAAGGGACTTGATAGCCATGCCAAGGAATCGTTGGAGAAACTTTGTCCCCAGTGCCATTAATTCATTCAGTACATATCGATGATAGAGTTTGCTTTGAGTTCTGTCTACATCAATAGGTGTGTACATTTGATCACATTACTTAAAACTCTGTACCTTAGTCCCTTAACCTTTCAAGATAAGGTTAAATATAGCCACCAAGAGGGTTATTGTGATTAAATGTTATAAAATATTAAGAGTTCATAGCCAGGTGCGGTGGCTCACACCTGTAATCCCAGCAGCACTTGGGGAGGCTGAGGCAGGTGGATCACTTGAGGTCAGGTGTTCGAGATTAGCCTGGCCAACATGGTGAAACCCCATCTCTACTAAAAATACAAAAATTAGCCGGGTGTGGTGGCATGCACCTATAGTCCCAGCTACTCAGCACGTTGAGGCAATAGAATTGCTTGAACTTGGGAAGCGAAGGTTGCAGTGTGATGAGATCATGCCATTGCACTCCAGCCTGGGGGACAGAGCAATACCGAAGAAAAAAAAAAGAGTTCTTAGCAGTCTGACTGGTATCTAGTAGCTATTCAATAAATAAGACCCTCTGCCCCACTCGCCCCCTCGCTTTCCCCTTCTTCTTTTGTATAGTCATTGTCAGAGTAAGAGGATAAAAAAGAGTAGTGGTGTAGAATTCCACTGGGCAGGAACTAGGAGGACGATAGCAATATCCCAAGGGACAGATATTTTCTACTACAAACACATTAACGTAAATGGCTGCCTCTCATACACAAAGGTGGTGATGGTTACCCACTGCCAAAACGACAGATGAGATATTTGTTCTTCAACGTTCCTTTACCTCAAGTACAAAGGCCTGCAAGTATGGGGGAGATGAAAATAGCAGTCCTAAATAGACTGCCCCTATGACTGTGACCTTCTTACTCATTCATCTAACACAGCACAACCATTAGTGATTATTGGTAGGCAGCTGAACACAGCAGACAGGACAATTTCCCTGTATAAGACAATTTCTCTTTCTACAGCTTTCTGGGACGAGATGTGAGGAAATCTGTGGCAACCCTGAACAGTAAGTATCTGAGAGTTTAAGCTGGGAGGATGGAGCGACAGACAAAAACATCACTACCCCCAAAAGAGGGTCAAGAGGTCACTAGACATCTATGACTTCCTTTTATTTTTTTTTTTTACTTAAGTAATGGATCTCATAGATGGGTTATCACAAAATAAAGACATGTGTTTGTGTCATCCTAAGCACTCAGAATAACACTGCTGATAGCACTGTTTTCTCCAAAGCCAATCTTCCCATCAAAGCAGCAGGATTAATCTCAATTTATATAGTCATAGGACTTGCAAAAGACATCCTTAGCCCTGTTTGTCAGTGACTCATCAGGACAGACTGGGTTTTGTATCTAGTCACTGGCGTATATATTTGGATGATTTCCAAAGTAACATTACTACTTTAAATTGGGAGAGTATTTTCTAGTTTTTATGGCATGTTAGCATTTATTGCAGACTTCATTTAGCTATCACTTTGATGTAGTTATCGACTAATCGAAGCCTGTCACATTTAGGTCTTATGTAGACACAGAGGACATGAAGATAACAATGCAAAAGAGTCATTCCACCTAAAGGAGATATAGGCTGGGGACGGTGGCTCACGCCTGTAATCCCAGCACTTTGGGATGCTAAGGTGGGCAGATCATGAGGTCAAGAGATCGAGACCACTCTGACCAACATGGTGAAACCCCGTCTCTACTAAAAATACAAAAATTAGCTGGGCGTGGTGGTGCGCACCTGTAATCCCAGCTACTTAGGAAGCTGAGGCAGGAAAATCTCTTGAACCCACGAAGCGGAGGTTGCAGTAAGCCGAGATCACACCACTGTACTCCAGCCTGGGCGACAGAGCAGGCGGGACTCCGTGTCTAAAATAAAATAAAAAATAAAGAAACTGGCTGGGTGTGGTGGCTCACGCCTGTAATCCAAGCACTTTGGAGGCCAAGACGGGCGGATCACCTGAGGTTGGGAGTTCAAGACCAGCCTGACCAACATGGTGAAACCCTATCTTTAAATAAGTAAATAAATAAATAAACTATAAAATAAACATTTTAAAAAGTAGGGGCACTTTGAATAAAAACTTGTTCAGGATGAAGGAAAATGCATATTTAGCCATGGGAAGGGTTTCTCAATAGCCAGGTCTGTTAAGCCCAGGAAAATGGTGATGGCCTTGATTACCTGTCACGTGCACATTGGATGTTGACTACTTGATACCTGCTGTCTGAGGTTTTACACATCTTCCACCATAGAAAGAATCCTTTCCTATAAACCAGAATCCAATTAGAACTAGAGGAGTTTTCAACAAGTAAGAAATGTGAGAAAGCCAAGAGGAGCCATTGTTCAGTGAAAAAAGACAAACTATATTTTCTATAAGTGTGTGGCCAGAAAATAGAAATAGATTCGCTAGATTTCAGTAGTAAAGAATTATTAAATGATAAAATTTGCTGCTCTTCAGAGATACACAAATACTCATCCTCCCTCACCCTCCAACTCCTGACCTTATCTTATACTCCTTCTCTCATACCATACCATTTTTTTTTTCATTCTTACAGAGAAAATTTACAATTGCCATAGTGAACTGTGAATATTAATTTAGCTTTCATCATGGTAAAGTTGGCTTCCACTTTTTTCCTTCTTCCTGTTTGGCCTCAGTGGATATGCATATTAGTTTTGATCCTGGATGTGGAAAATTAGGGTACTCTTTATGGTGGGTGTGATATTGTGAAATACATATTTAATTTTGTCCCTATCTCCTAGCATACAACTTCGAAAATCCCTGGAGTCCTCAAAGCAAGAAGTCTCATTTTGCATGCCAGTTAGTTGTCTGGTGGCTGGCAGCTCCTAGGTAGATTCAGGATGGGACTGGTCATTGGAAAGACCAAGGCAGAATCCTTAAAGCCCCACCCCTCAACATCCAGGGAAAGTAGAGGGGCTGAAGGTTAAGTTGACCATCAATGGCCAATGATTTAATCAATCATGCCTACATAATGAGGCTTTCATGAAAATCCCAAAGGATGGATTTGGAGCGTTTCTGTACAGCTGAACAGGTGGAGGTTTCTGGAGGGTGATGCACTTGGCAGGCATGGAAGCTCCGTGCCTCTTCCCACGTGCTTTGCCCTACGCATCTCTTCATCCGCATCCTTGGTAAGATGTAATAAACTGTAGATGTAAGTGTTTCCCTGAGTTCTGTGAGCTGCTCTAACAAATTAATGCAACCACAAGAGGGGAGTCATGGAACCCCCAATTTATAGCCAGTAGGTCAGAAGCACAGGCAAAAAAAACTCGTGATTGGCATCAGAATTCTGGGGAGCAATCTTAGGGACTGAGCCCTCACCCTGTGGGATCTGATACTATCTCCAGGCAGGTAATGTTGGAACTGAATTGGATCAGAGGACACTCAGCTGTCGTCGGTTTCTGAAAGATTGCTTGCTTGTGGTGTGTGGGGAAATCCCCACCCAGCCACAGCTGGTGTCAGAGGGTTGGGAGAGTACAGCAGGAAGAAGCTAAGTTTCTTTTTTCCTACATTCTCAGTGGGAGTGTTGCAACAGCTTGCAAAAGATAAATTACAAATGTGATTGTACGCCTTTCATATTCATAACTGAAATTTTCTTTATGTTTACATTTCACTGACCTCAAATATACACAAGCCTTAACTTTCACATCCATTTTCAAAGTCACTCTTTGTAAACCTGCATTCCAAGTGCTTTCTTGGTATCTTTTATCATAAGTGTTTACAATAGGCACAGATACGTTTTCTATGAACACTACTAATGATCACTGCTTTCGCTTGTTTTATAGTAATTTACAAAATGACTTGCGCAGTGCCATCTCTATTATGAAGTACTATTTAAAGCTTATCATTTGGCAAAACATTCAACTAGCTACATTGAATGTTAGCAACATAACCCACGGCGCTTTTATTATAACTAGGTATCACATCATATTGTAACTCATATTTCTGAGTCTGGAGTTATAACAAGGATTGACTATATTTTTAATGTGGAAAACTTTATTATTTCTTTATAGTTGCCTAACCACAGACTGGGTACATCTCTGGTATATATGGTAAGTTTCACTTATAATACCCAGAAAGACACTGTATTCCTTAAGGCCATTAAAAATGACAGCCTGCCTACTTACTTAGCATCTCATGGAGTAAGATTTCATTATTTCACCACTACCTATGTGACAATATGTCAGGATTTCCTTTGTCTTTTCTTTCTTTATTTCTTTTCTTTTTTTTTTTTTTTTTTGAGATGGAGCCTCGCTTGGAGTGCAGTAGTACAATGTCAGCTCACTGCAACCTCCGCCTCCCGGGTTCAAGTGATTCTTCTGCCTCAGCCTCCTGAGTAGCTGGGATTACAGGCAGGCACCACCACGTCCAGCTAATTTGTGTATTTTTAGTAGAGACGGGGTTTCATTATGTTGATCAGACTGGTCTCAAACTCCTGACCTCATGATCTCTCCATCTCAGTCTCCCAAAGCGCTGGGATTACAGGCGTGAGCCACCGCACCCGGCCGGGATTTCCTTTTTCTATACCATCTCCTCTACAAGCATCAAAACATTATTGTGTCCTTCCATTGGAGTCTTTCTAGAAATATCTCTACAAAGGAGATGATTTTAGTGAATCAAAACTCAGACCCTGACCAGGTGTGGTAGCTCACGCCTGTATTCCCAGCACTTTGGGAGGCCAACACAGACAGATTGCTTTGAGGGCAGGAGTTTGAGACCGGCCTGAGCAACATAGTGAAGCCCTATCTCTATTAAAAATACACACACACACAAAAAAAATTAGTCAAGTGTGGCGGCATGTGCCTATAGCACTGGCTGCTCGGTAGGCTGAGATTGTGTCACTGCACTCCAGGCTGGGCAACAGAGAGAGACTCTGTCTCAAAAAAGAGAAAAAAAAAGCAGTCTCCCCAAACTACCTTAAATGTCTTATTATTTGTTCTAATGAATTGACTTACTCCAGCTGACAAAATAAGGAGGTATATATGTAAAGCAAAAGCTTTGAAATTAAAATTATAAATTAGAATATTTATAATTATTCTATAAAATATTCAAACAAGAATCAAAACACAGACATTGAAGACTGGTTACAGCAGAACTAGGAAAAAAGCCAAATCCCAGAACTCCCACTCGCCCCGTGGACTCTTGCAGGTTGCTGGTTGTGATTGGCGCGCTGCTTCTCCTGTGTGGCCTGACGTCCCTGTGCTTCCGCTGCTGCTGTCTGAGCCGCCAGCAGAATGGGGACAATGGGGGCCCACCACCCTATGAGGTCACCGTCATTGCTTTCGACCATGACAGCACTCTCCAGAGCACTATCACATGTGAGTACACTGACCTTTTAAAAACCTGGGAGAAGACCCGATTTAAATGAATAATGAAAAGGGTGCGAAGGCATAGAACACTGATGGAGTGGTATTAAAGATCCCAGGACTCATAATAGTTTCAATGTCCAGAAGTCTGATGGTGCAGTGACCTGGGCTCTCACTGAAGCTGTATTCTGAAGGATCTATCTGGCTGACGATAAAGAAAGAAGTGAAGTATTGGAGACTATTGGAAATATTGAACAGGAAGAATTAGCCAGTTTATAAGCAGTTACTTTGCTAAAAGCTATTTTGAACTCCAAACAGATCCCTTTTTCAAAATGTCTTGAATTTTGTGGAAACCTCCTTTTGCTATTGTCTATACTATTTTATATTTTTAAATAAATTAATGGCATATACTTTCAGTTCTTTATTCTTCAAGTCTTGATACACTAAATTTTAGCCTTAACATTTTCTCAATAATTATAAGACACTTTCCCTTTTCTCCTGAGGTTCTGTTCTTTCCATTATGTTCTTCTTTTTTTTTTTTTCTTCTTTTTTAGATTAAGTCTCACTCTGTTGCCCAGGCTGGAGTACAGTGGCGTGATCTCAGCTCACTGCAACCTCCACCTCCTAGGTTCAAGCAATTCTCTGCCTCAGCCTCCCGAGTAGCTGGGATTACAGGTGCCCACCATAATGCCTGGCTATTTTTTGTATTTTTAGTAGAGATGGGGTTTCACCATCTTGGCCAGGCTGGTCTTGAACTCCTGACATCGTGATCCACCTGCCTTGGCCTCCCAAAGTGCTGGGACTATAGGCGTGAGCCTCCGTGCCCAGTCAAAATGGTTACTTTCTTTTTTTTTTTTGAGACAGAGTCTCCCTCCATTGCCCAGGCTGGAGCGCAGTGGTGGGATCTCAGCTCACTGCAACCTCTGCCTCCCAGGTTCAAGCGATTCTCATGCCTTAGCCTCCTGATTTGCTGAAATTACAAGCAGCCACCACCATGCCCGGCTAATTTTTTTTTTTTTTTGTATTCTTCATAAATACAAGGTTTTACCATGTTGGCCAGGCTGGTCTCAAACACCTGACCTCATGACCTACCTGCCTCTGCCTCCCAAAGTGCTGAGATTGCAAGCATGAGCCACTGTGCCTGGACTATGTTCTTTCCTAAAATTGAGGAACTGGCAGAACACCAGCTGGAAAACATGGATATTTATTTTGAAAAGAGAATGATGGCTGGGCACACCTGCAATCCTAGCACTTTGGGAGGCTGAGGTGGGTGGCTGACTTGAAGTAAGGAGTTCAAGACCAACCTGGTCAACATGGTGAAACCTTGTCTCTAGTAAAACTACGAAAACTGGCTCGGTGCAGTGACTCACGCCTGTAATCCCAGACTTTGGGAGGCTGAGCTGGGTGGGTCATTTGAGGTCAGGAGATCGCAACCAGTCTGGCCAACATAGTGAAACCCCATCTCTACTAAAACACAAAAATCAGCCAGGCATAGTGGCACACACTTGTAATCCCAGCTACTTGAGAGGCTGAGGCAGGAGAGAATAGCTTGAACCTGGGAGGTGGAGGTTGCAGAGAGCTGAGATTGTGCCACTGCACTCCAGCCTGAGCGACAGACGGAGACTCTGTCTCAAAAAAAAAAAAGAAGAAAGAAAGAAAAGAAAAAGAAAATGAAAAGAAAGAAAAGAAAATAGATAAGGTAAAAATAAATATTCCTAAGGAGTCTATAGTGTCCAGGGCTGGGGGAAGGGGATCTATGTCTGAAAGGGGAAAGGGCAGAGTTGAGATGCAGGACCATTCTTTAGATTATTTGAGGATACCAGAGAAAACAGGTCCTTCCAGCAGGGCAGGAAGCTGGGTTGTACACATGCTTCCAAGATATTCATAAAGTTTGTGGCAAGCAGTGACAATGAGTTTGAACACTTGTTAAAAATGAAGGGACAGGCCAGGCGCAGTGGCCCACGCCTGTCATCCTAGCACTCTGGGAGGCCGAGGTGGGTGCATTGCCTGAGCTCAGGAGTCTGAGACCAGCCTGGGCAACATGATGAAACCCTGTCTCTACTAAAACACAAAAGAGATTAGCCGGGCTTGGTGGCCGGTACCTATAGCTTCAGCTACTAGGGAGGCCGAGGTAGAAGAATTGCTTGAACCGGGGAGGCAGAGGCTGCAGTGAGCCGAGATCCTGCCACTGCACTCCAGCCTGGGTGACAGAGTGAGACTCCATCTCTACAAAAAAAAAAAAAAAAAAAAAAAAGAAGAAGGGATAGGGTCAGGCATGGTGGCTCATGCCTGTAATCCTAGCACTTTGGGAGGCCGAGGTGGGTGGATCACCAGATCAGGAGTTCAAGACCAGCCTGGTCAACAAGGTGAAACCCCGTCTCTACTAAAAATACAAAAATTAGCTGGGTGCAGTGGTGGGCGCTTGTAATCCCAGCTACCCAGGAGGCTGAGGCAGGAGAATCACCTGAACCTGGGAGGCCGAGGTTGCACTTAGCTGAGATCATGCCACTGCACTGCAGCCTGGGTGACAGAGGGAGACTCCATCTCAAAAAAAAAAAAAAAAAAAAGGAAGAAACAGTGAGTGTGAAGAAGTAAGTCTCTGCTGTCTGAGGGTGTCCCATTTCCCTTAGTTCCTTAGCTCTGTTCCTTCTTTCTTCACAGCTCTGCAGTCGGTTTTTGGCCCTGCAGCTCGGAGGATCCTGGCTGTGGCTCACTCTCACAGCTCCCTGGGCCAACTGCCCTCCCCTTCGGACACCCTCCCAGGGTATGAAGAAGCTCTTCACATGAATCGCTTCACAGTAGCCAGGTGTGGGCAGAAAGCACCTGATCTACCCCCAGTCCCTGAAGAAAAGCAGCTGCCTCCAATAGAGAAGGAGTCAACATGAATAGGACCCTCTTGGAACTGACCGGAGCTGTGATTTTATAAATAGGGGTAGAGGTATGCCCAGAGTCTGTGGGTAAATGGATCATATTCTCTGCTAACCCTCAGAAGTTTTAGGATGGCTCTGACACCATCATTCTATGGGAAAGATGGGTTCTGACTCTTCATTCACGAGCCTTTATATTTTCTGATACAGAATGCTCTAACTGGGAACTCTGATTTTTTATCCAATGGCTGAAATCTGCAAGTAATCTCTAGTCACACTGATTACTACTAAACCGGGAAATCATCAAGGTGTCTTGAATCCCTTCAACTATTGAGTGCATATAAAATTCCTGTACCCACATGATACTGTAAGTTGTGTTTCTGTCAGCTAATACATGCGGTAAACTGGAAAAGAAAGACAGCAGTGTCAGCACAACCATCGATATTAATGCACTGAATGCATTCATCTTTCCTCCTGAGACAGCAATAGATTTTACACTGAATGACAATGATCATCTTAGCACAACGTACCCACCCGGATATCTAAAATCCATGGATGACATTGCTGACATGGGCTAAGATAACACAGTATAGTATTCAAGTGCCAAATATCAGTCTTTCTTTCTCTCTGTTCCTACCCATCAGCAGTATGAAAAACTCCATACTGTGCAAGCAACAGATTAATTCTTCAGTTCCTCTGCACTGCAAACACCTACGTGTGCACACATGCATGTACACATGAATCCAGTTTCAACTTTAAAGGAATAGTGTTGCTTTGCTGCTTTCCTGTTTTGTCTGGACCACCTAAAGCCACAACACCCCTATAGTGACACACGCTTGTCTCTAGTGGTGGCCCTCACTGCCACCTAGTGGAGGCATGGTGGAAAATACACTCTCTCCTTTGAGCCTATCTGCAATTCTCTCCAGTTGTTGGAGCAAAAAGTAAATGCTGAACTAAGCCTGGATGGGATGCTTCCCAATCTATGCATATAACATATCACCACCAGAAGTATAATTACTGGAAAATCAAAAAAGTGATGCACATTTGGGGAAAAACTACTCACCTTAGATAAGTCACCAAAATCCTCTTTTTGTTGAGATTGAGTTTTGCCCTTATAGCCCAGACTGGAATGCAATGGCACGATCTGGGCTCACTGCAACATCTGCCTCCTGGGTTAAGCGATTCTTTTGCCTTATTTCCCAAGTAGCTGGGATTACAGGTTCCTGCCACCACACCCAGCTAAATTTTGTATTTTTAGCAGAGACGAGGTTTCAGCATATTGGCCAGGCTGGTCTCGAACTCCTGACCTCAGGTGATCCTCCCACTTCGGCCTCCCAAAGTGCGGGAATTATAGGCCTGACCCACTGCTCCCAGCCTGAAATCTTTAAAACAGTTTTCTCACCTAAAAAACAGGGAATAATAACACCTCAGAAGGCTGTTGTCAAGTTCAAAGAAGTTAAATATCTGTGGCGTGATTTGTAAAGTGCTACGCATATGTACGTTATTCTTCCTACTGTCATCTAACCTTCGTTTGCCTGCTATGACTCCTCTGAGAGCTGTGTTCCCATTTATCCTTTTGCCAGCTACGTTACTGTTGTAGCACCTGAAGTGGCTTTATTTTTTTCAATAAATATTTGTTGATTGAGGTAAAAACAACAGATGTAAGTGATTCCTTTTACTACGTTCGGTGTAGAGGTAAGGAATATTTGAGAAAACTAATTGTTTATTAGGCAATTAATTAGCTCCAGTAGTCAGGGAGGCAACACAGAGCCAGGATTGGCTGATTCGGGCAGATCCTTATTAACTACATTCTTGAAATACTCACTCAGCCCAGAGGGAAAAATGTTCTGAGTATAACCTGCTGGTGATCTGAATTTATCCTGAGTCATTTAACAAATTGGCTCTGGGAATTATTGAAATGCATGAATTGCTTGCTAATAGCTCCTGAAGTGACCTTGTTTTATTGCTGCCAGATGAATCATTTAGTCATCACAGACACAATCCAGAAAACATTCCAGGCTCTTCCTTTAAGGCACCAAGACACCACAGACTTGAAAAAGGTAAAACGTAGCCAGGCACGGTGGCTCACGCCTATAATCCCAGCACTTTGGGAGGCTGAGGTGGGTGGATCGCCTAAGGTTGGGAGTTTGAGACCAACCTGACCAACATAGAGAAACTCCATCTTTACTAAAAATACAAAATTAGCCAGGCATGGTGGCACATGCCTGTAATCGCAGCTACTCGGGAGGCTGAGGCAGGAGAATTGCTTGAACCCAGGAGGTGGAGGTTGCTGTGAGCCGAGATCGTGCCATTGCGCTCTAGACTGAGCAACAAGAGCAAAACTCCGGCTAAGAAAAAAGAAGATAAAACATTCATTGGCATTAGAAAATCTTGGGGAAAATCTTGGCTACGATATCTTATTCTAAAGGCATCTCTCTTCCCCACACTGTCTCTCTAGCGCCCACCATCTATTTGAAACATAAAATCACTTCCAACCATGACACACTACTCTGTCCTGCCTCCATCCCATAGTGTGTCTTTTCCTAATCTGCTTCACATGTGCTGCTCCTCAGCCACGTGGTGTCTCTCACTCCCATAACCCTCCCATTTGGTCACTAGCTATTTGCACACTTTTGGCCTCAATTCTTTGTTCTTTTTCCTTTTTTTTTTTTTTTTTTTTTTTTGAGATGGAGTTTCGCTCTTGTCATCCAATCCAGGCTAGAGTGCAGTGGTGCAATCTTGGCTAACTGCAACCTCTGGCTCCCAGGTTCAAGCGATTCTCCTGCTTCAGCCTCCCAAGTAGTTGGGATTACAGGCGCCTGCCACCACGCCCAACTAATTTTTTGTATTTTTAGTAGAGACAGGGGTTTTGCCATGTTGGGCAGGCTGGTCTCAAACGCCTGACCTCAGGTGATCTGCCCACCTCGGCCTCCCAAAGTGCTGGGATTACAGGCGTGAGCCACCGCGCCCAGCCGGCCTCAATTCTTTCTATACTGAATCTAATACATCTGTTAATCATCACTATCACCATCACTATTGTTCTCAATTTTTTTAAATTTTCTAAAAAATCTTTTTAAGCCGGGCGCGGTGGCTCAAGCCTGTAATCCCAGCACTTTGGGAGGCCGAGGCGGGTGGATCACGAGGTCAAGAGATCGAGACCATCCTGGTCAACACGGTGAAACCCCGTCTCTACTAAAAATACAAAAAAATTAGCCGGGCATGGTGGCGCGTGCCTGTAATCCCAGCTACTCAGGAGGCTGAGGCAGGAGAATCGCCTGAACCCAGGAGGCGGAGGTTGCGGTGAGCCGAGATCGCGCCATTGCACTCCAGCCTGGGTAACAAGAGCGAAACTCCGTCCCCCAAA